CACATACAGCAACTAGAAGGATGTGCAGCTATGACACACAACTATCTACTGGGGCTTTGGGGGAAAAAATAAATAAATAAAATTATAAAAAAAAATAAAATAAAATTATTTTAGAGTCAACACGGATACTAAAACATGAAGGGCAGCAGAAAAGATAATCAAAGATCAATGTGAGTTTTGGTACAAACACTTTAAGTAGACTATTAAAATACAGAATTCAGTAGATTATTAAAAGAATAACATGACCAAGAGGAGTTCAAGTCCAGGAATAAAAAGACTACTCAAGGGGCCAGCCCCAAGGCTTAGCGGCTAAGTGTGCGTGCTCCGCTACTGGCCGCCCGGGTTTGGAACCCCGGGCGCGCACCCACGCACCGCTTGTCTGGCCATGCTCAGGCAGCATGCCACATACAGCAACTAGAAGGATGTGTAACTATGACATACCACTATCTACTGGGGCTTTGGAGAGAAAAAGGAGGGGGATTGGCAATACATGTTAGCTCAGGGCCGGTATTACTCAGCAAAAAGAGAGGATTGGCAATAGATGTTAGCTCAGAGCTGGTCTTCCTCAGCAAAAAGAGGAGGATTAGCATGGATGTTAGCTCAGGGCTGATCTCCCTCCCCCCGAAAAAAAAACAAACAAAAAAACGAGGCGGATCTGCCTGTGGAATAATGTCCAAGAGAAACTGTTACCAAGAAAAGCAAGTTATGAAGTGAACGCCGTGATCTCCAAGAGCACGGCTGCTCCCCGCCTCTGTCCCATTCCCGCCAGGACCCCGGCGCTGTTCCTGGCACACAGTAGGCGCGGAATCCAGAGCCCTCTCTGCTCTCCCCTCACTCTCGCCCTGCAGCCCCGGGGGCCCTTTCGGGTCCTCCTGTCCCCAAGCTCCCTCGAGTCCCCGCTGTGGCACGTGTCACTGCCGCCTGTGCGTTTGTGTCTCCCTTTGTTGGTCGCGCCCCTCCTCCCCAGGACCTGAGCTCAAGGAGCCGGGACTCTGCTGTTTCACTCTGTGCCCGGCATGGCGAGGGCACTCAGTTAAAACGTACTGACTGCATGGATGAGCAAATCCAACTTTTACAAGACGAAGTGAGAAATATTTATTAAAATGTATAGAAAATAGAGCATTTTGATGGAAAAGCTCTTTGAGTTTTGCCAACAGTCCAGACTCAAAGCGTCAACTCCTGGTGTCTCTCTGCTTCTAGAAACTCTAAGGAGGAAGTGTGAGTTGGGAGGCACCCCCGCCCCCCAGGGGGAGCAGTGTAAGCATGTTTTGTAAGTCAGGTTTTGGGTTTCCGGCCAGGAGGTTCTGAAGCCTGTGGCCTGGAGTCTGTCTGTCTGTTTATTCAAGAGAAGTCTCTGTGAAGCTGCCCTCTCTTGAAGCAGAACTTCGGCAGAGGCCCGGTGTGAGAACAGTGCCCATCCCGGCCCCCTCCCTGAGGGAGAGAGGGGAGACCACTGAAGTCTGGCTCTGGGAAAAGGGAACCAGGAACTCCAGCTTCCTGCTTAGGCAAACCCAGGTTTATTTTATCACTCGAGAAGGGAGGATGGATTGTTGAAATGCAGCAGTGGAGAGTGACTCAGCAAATTCAGGGCTTTGAAAGGCAGACAGATGCCAAGGCGTGGACTTGCCAGAGTCCTAGTCTCAGATCAAAGGGACAGCGTGGGCGCTGCCGAGGGAGGAGGGGGTGAGGCTAGTGGGAGTTTAGCCAGACTGGCCCATTTCTCTGCTTCATACTTCCTGATCTTTGCAAAATAACAAAACTTTTCAGGACGAACTAATTTAGCATGCTGCTGTGCAGGGAACAGCACAGAAAGAGGTATACAGACCTCCCTGGTCCTTGCTCCTAAAAGTCTTTAACCTGAGAGCTGCAGGATCGAGTAATGTATTAACTGTGATAGTGAGACCCACTGTGTGCGGGGTCCTGGTGCAGGAACTTGACACTCGCTGGTGCGTTTAATCCCCACACCAGCCCCCAGACGTATTATCCCCAGGGACCAGTGAAGCATCTGGAAGTGCAGGGATTGGCCCAGGGTCACAGCCTGTGAGGGGTAGAGGTGGGATTCGAACCCAGGTCTGTCTGGCGTAGAGGTTGGTGCTTTTTACAGTGCCCAGAATAAAATCTCAAAATCAAACCTGCAGTAGAGCAGTAAGTAAACCATAAAGATGGAGATGAGGAAACAAGAGTTCTGACCTACTTGAAGGCAGACCTGGGCTCTAACTGGAAGCTGCGGTTGGAGGAAGAACTGGGCAAAGAGCACAGGCCTTGGAGTTCCAAAGACCTCGGTTCAAATCTGGGCTCTGCCCTCACTGCTGTGTGACCTTCAAGCAAGTGGCTTGACCTGTCTGTGCCTCACTGTCCTTCTCTGTGAGGAGGGGATGAAATTCACCTTCTAGGTTTGCTGTGAGGTTTAAATGGGAATAATCCAAGCGCGTAAAGCTCCTGGTACAGGGGCTGCCACATCATGAGTAGCTAGTAAATGTTAGCCATGTTAGTCACAGGCAGGTGGCTGGGTGGACCGTCCTCCTGGTCAGCTGCGGGAAGGGGGTTGGAGGGAGTAGTGAGTAGTGCAGGACCAGCAGACTCACCTCCCCCGCAGCCGCCTGCCTCTCCTCTGTGCGCTCCCTATCCTCCTGCCTCCGTGCTTCAGTGAAGTTAGGTGTGAGGCTGGGAAACCTGACCCCGCGCCTGGGCCCCAGGGCGGCCATGGGAGCAGATGCTCACCAGGTGGAGGCAGAGCGTGCCAAGCCCTGCTCCCTGGTCCGCGGGTGTCGTCTCTGCTCCTCCCCATGAGCGTCCCCTCCTCCACATTCGCCAGCAGGAGGGGCTGATTCTCAGAGAGGGGAGCACTCATGCAGGGCTCGGCACCACCTGGCTTCAAGCCTGAACTCTTTGCCACACCTGTTCCCCCACTGGGACGACCCATCACCTGCTTCCCAGCCCTCCTGCGGCGAGAAACAAAGGTGTTCTTTCTCTCAAGAGTAATCGACCCACTAACGTGCAACTACACAAACACATTTCAAAGCATCTAGCTGATGTTTACCCACGTTCTCCTGCCAAACGCCCAAAGCCTCTTACTGTATGTGCGCAGCTGCGGGTTCCACTGTGATGGGGGGATAGGGGGTGCTCCAAAATACCAAATCTGAGCTGGAGAAAGTGACCCCTGGTAGTCCCTTTCCTGACTGGCACCTTCCTTGTCACCCATTTGGTCACCACTGTCACTGTCATAGCGTTGCACACCTACTCTGTGCGAGGCTCGGCGCAAACACTAGGAACCCTCACATGCCACTTGATGAGGGGGTGCTGTAGTGACTCCCACTTTATAGATGAGGAAATGATGGCGGGGGGAGGTGAAGTGCCTTGCCCCATGTGACACAACTAGGGGCAAAGGAGCCCGGATTCATCCGGGTTCTTGTCTTGACCCTGGCTCATGACCACTGAGCCAGGCCAGCCCTCCCCAGGCCCCGCTGGCCCTGAGATCTCTGGCCCTGGCGTGAGCCAGGCTCTGGGCTTTGCTTGGTGGCTTGGTCTTGTTTATGGTCCCAGGCTCTGGCCCAGAGTGACTGGAGACGACTCCCCTGGGTCCTGAGCCAGAGCCAGGCCATGTTGGGATGCTGGGGCCAAGGAGAGCCCTTGAGGAAGGAAGGCAGAGAGTGGATTGGCGAGCCCTGGGGAAGGACCAGCTTCCCCAGCCTGGGGGGAGCAGCCTGCTGGGAGATTTCTTGTCTGTGCTCCCCTGACGCCATCACTGGCTCTTGGGAGCAGAGAGTGAACTTTGGCACTTGGTTAAGCAGCTCTGGGTAAGGACCCTTTCTCTGAGCGAATGAAGAGGATTCTGTCTTCCTGATATCGGCCTCATTAAAACAGCATACAGTCTCTCCCCGGACTTGGTCACTGTTAATCTTCACAACAACAACAACAACTGTGAAGGCCACTAGGTCCTGAACTGAGGGCTTCACAGGACTCGCTCTCCTCTCTGACTCCATCTTCTAGCACTTCCTTCCTGGTTCACCAGTAACTCTGGCTGCCTTTGTTTTGTCTCAAACTCACCAGACTTATTCCTGCCCCAGGACCTTTGCACTTGCTGTTCTTGCTGCCTGGACTGCTTGTCCTCCCATTATTCCCGTGGCTGGCTCTTTTTCCCCATTCAGGGCTCAGGTCAAATGTTTGCTTCTCAGAGAGGCACTCTCCAACCATCCCAGCTAAAGTTCTCTATCCTCTCCCCATTTGGTACTCTCTCTGGACCCTGTTTTTCTCCTTTGCACGTATTTGATTGCTTCCTTATTTTCTGTGCCCATGAGAGAAAGGTCCTTGTTGGGTTTGGTTTCCACTGTGCCCTCAGCCCTAGAACAGTGCCTGGCCCATGGCGGGTCCTCACTAAATCTTTGCTGAATGGATGAAAGAGTAACCTAGCTCAGTCCTCACAACAACGCTGTGCGGCAGTGTGGTAGAAGAAAGATGCTTGCAGGTTCCTTGCTGCTCCTCCCAAGGAGGGGTGGAGGCTCTCTCCCCTGCGGTGAGTCTGGACTGGGCCTGGGACTGACTTTGACCAGTGGAATATGGTGGTCGAAATGAAGCTCTGTGACTTCTGAAGCTTTCAGTTCTGCGTGGGTCTCTTGGAACACTCCTTCGGGGGAAGCCAGCTGTCGTGTGAGAAGTCTGACCAGCCTGAGTTCACTATGCAGTCAGGAAGCCCACGCAGCCATGTGGTGCCAGACGTGAGGGAAGAAGCCGTCTTGCACACCCAGCCCCAGGCACCCTCACTCTGCAGCCCCATGAGCCAGCCCCGGCGAGCCCTGCTCAGCTGAGCCCCACCAACGAACACAACTGTGAGAGAGAATACGGAATCACGTTATGCCGCCGAGTTTTGAGCTGATGTTACACAGCAATAGATATACATGACTGATAAGGTAGAAACATTCTATTCATTTTCCAGGTCAAAGAAACCAAGGCATTGAAAGGTCAAATGACTCACCCAAGGTCACTTGGCAGAGTGTGCACTCCAGCTTAGACTGTCTCCAAGGCCGTGCTTTTAACCTCTAGGGCACATCATTCTGAAGATAATTCATATTTGTTCTGATTTTTTTTTTTTTTTTTTTTTACATTGCTGGCAGTATTGGGTTGAGAGCTGGTCCTGAGAACTTTCTTCCTTCTCATCGTAGATCTTCATCAACAATGAGTGGCACGACGCTGTCAGCAAGAAAACGTTCCCCACCGTCAATCCGTCCACTGGGGAGGTCATCTGCCAGGTAGCTGCAGGGGACAAGGTGAGAAGTGGTGACTTTCCTTGGGGCGAGGCTGAGCCGGGTGGGGGTGGTTTCATTTTTCACTTTGTATGTTTTTGTATGATGGAAACTTCACCATGTGTGTATTACTTTTACAACTAAAAAATGCCAAGGAACATTTTTGAGTAAATGAATCAATAGGATCTCTTCCTTGCAGACAGAGGTGCTAGATGGTACCTGGCTTCAGTACTTCATACAGCTGTAGACTTGTAGACTCAGAATTGAATTTGAGGACATCTAACCCAGTCTCTCCTTCCCAGACCTGGGAGTTGGAGGGCAGAGAAGGGAGGTGCACAGCTAGATGGAAATCCTGTTGAGTAGAGTTTGGGTCTCCTGAGATCTAACTGTGTTGTTGGTAGTCTGTTTTGTTTCAATTATATAGACTGGTAGTAATTGAAAAATAGTAATAGTAATTTTAAAATTTAAAAATTAGACTTTTAGTAAAAATATGTTTTTTTAAATAGAAAAGGCATTAAAAATACTTCAGGAATGCCTCCTGCCCTCCACTTTGAGACAGGCTTCTACATTCATGAATAAGGCCTCATTCCCTTTGCTGAAAGCAAATGTGAATACTTTTCTGGCTTATAAGGTGGTCTGATGGGAAATGTGCTTAATATTAATGAAAACCATGCTCCTCACCTCCTAGTACACATCTCTCTATATGAAAAATACTAACTGTGTTGACTTGACCGCTTCCCCGAGGAGAGGGAGGCTGGTTCAGTCTGCTTTTGTTGGAGACTGCCGGTCGTCTCAGAAGGAATGGTTAAGTTCGCTAGGCTTGCTTTCTTAGGAAGAAGGGAAATGGTCAAATTCTAAGCAGCGACCCCTGAGTGCCTCTCCCTCCAAAACTGTTTGGGGGATTTTGAAATGAAAATATGGAAAGGGAAGCTGTCAGGGTCCTCATTCCCACTGTGCCTGCTGGAGAGGAGACTCTGAAGCTCATCCAGGCCTTCGAGGCTGGGAGGGAGCGTTGGCGGCAGGGTCTGACACAGGCATTGACTGAAGCCCCTGTGGGTGCGTTTGGCAGCAGGTGGGTGGTATTTGGAGGTGCTTATTGTTCAGAAGGCCTGAGCTGCCTCGGTGGCTGTTTTCCAGGAAGATGTGGACAGGGCAGTGAAGGCTGCCCGGGCTGCCTTCCAGCTGGGCTCGCCCTGGCGCCGCATGGATGCATCCGACAGGGGCCGGCTGCTCAACCGCCTGGCCGATCTGATTGAGCGGGACCGCACCTACCTGGCAGTGAGTTCCCAGCCCTCTCCCCTCTCAACCCACATGGCAAATGGGCTCAGAGCATCCCCTGGACCACCAGGAAGGGGCTGCATTGCTGACAAGGAACTAGTCAGAATGGCATAGGCTGGGCACCGGTGGGGTATGCCCCTGCACCAACCAGAGGTGCCTCTCAGTGTCCCCTTTGATGCTGTCGGTTTGGCTAAGAAAGGAGGAGACCAAGGGGAGAGAAGGGAGCCATGATGGGAGGGCTTCTCAGGAGAGAGACCCTCCCCCACCCCGGATGCCCCCTCTCCCTGAGCCCCTCTGAGTGTGGGCCTTCTCCCTGGCTGCCAGAGGCAGAAGGAACCAGGAGGGAATACCCTGCCCTGTCTCCAGTCCATTCTGCACATAGCAGCCAGAGTCAGCCTTCTAGAAGGCAGATTATACCATGGCACTCTACTCGTAAGCCTTCCGTGGCATCCTGTATCCTTAGGATAAAGTCCTGTCCCCTCCACATGGTCTATAAGGCCCTGCCTGGGCTGCGTCTCCCAACTCATGCTGGACACAGCTCAGCTCACCAGCCTTCCTTCGGCTTCTTGACTGCCAAGGTTCTTTGAGCGCCAAGGCTTTTGCGTATACTGTTCCCTCTGCCTGGGGTGCTCTTCCCTTCATCACCATTTGTGCCTTCCCTTCACCTAGTTACCTCCTACACATCCTGGTTTTAGCTAAAGCGTGCATCTCAGCTTAGAGTTTCTCAGACTGGGTTGGGCACCTTCTGGCTCTCCTGACATTTGTGATCAATGATTCGTGTCATTCTCCACTGGCTCTTTGCTCTGTAGGCTCCGTGTTCGTCTCTGTATTTCCAGCTCCTGGATCTAGCCTAAAGCAGCAGCGTGAGACAACATGTTTGTGAAATGATTGATGAGAAGTTGGGAGCATCATTCCTCCCATCCCCCTCCTCGTTCTCCCCACCTCCGGAGAGCGAGGGGCAGTGGCCCAGAAATGCTGCAACATTCAGGGGCACAGAGGGGCCACCAGCCCTTCTCTGTCCACACTGGGCCTCCGTGCTGTCACCCCATTTGCTTTGATTCATTCCTGTGCCAGCGTGTCTGTGCTGATCTTGTTCTCTTCTCAGGCCTTGGAGACCCTGGATAATGGCAAGCCCTACGTCATCTCTTACCTGGTGGATTTGGACATGGTCCTCAAATGTCTACGGTATGGGCTCAGGCTTCCTGTTCTTTGTTCTGGCTGTGCCGAAGGGGCCGGGGTGTTGCTGGGGAGGAAGAAATAGCATAATGTGAAAGGATCACAGGAGTTGGAGAAACTTGTTCTGTTAGACTCCATCTCATGGGGAAACCCCTCAGTACCAAAATCGTAATTTAGTCATAAATGTTTTCTCTTTCTTCTTGAGTTAGTTTTGGTAATTTATGATTTAGTTAGAATTTGCCCATATCATCTAGGTTATATAATTTGTTGGCTACAATTTTTATCTCTGTAAGGTCGGTCATAATGTCCCCACTTTCACTTCTGATTTTAGTTATTTGCGTCTTCTCCCCTTTTCCCTTAGTCTAGCTAAAGGTTTGTCAATTTTGCGGATGTTTTCAAAGAACCAACTTTCGGTTTTGTTGATTGTCTCTATTGTTTTTCTACTCTCCACTTCATCTCTCTGCTCTAGTCTTTATTATTTCCTTCCTCTAGCTAGCTTTGGGTTTAGTTTAATCATAAACATAAACATTTTAATGAGCAGGAAATACAAGATGAGGACTAAGAGCTTTGTCACAGCCCTTTGGGTTGCCAGAGACTTAGAGACTTAGCCTAACGCGGGCAGTACAGAGAGTCGGGGTCTCACATCAGAAGGCCCCTGAGTCTCACGGCTGCCCGGCCCGCCCCCCGGCCTCGTGCTTCTCTTGACCACCCTGGGAAGCTGGCTGCCCCACGTGGGCGGCATCTGAGCTTTGCTTCTGTGTGCGTGATCCCAGCCAGACTAAGCTGCAATCCCTGAGTCCTAATGCCGGTTCCTGGGGGAGGGACCCTGATCGGCGGGCCTCCACTCTGACCAGCTGTGGTCCGGGTGGACAGATCCTTGTGCAAATAATGGCTGCTCCCCTGTGACCATGTGGACAGAGATGGAGGGGAAGAAGCAGTGCCAGAAAAGTAGGAGTTGGACAACAGAACAGTAGTTACCTCCCACCGGGTCAGTCATGTCTCCCAGGGGACAGCGGGCAGTGTCTGGAGGCATCTTTGGAGGACAGCTGGGGGGGGCGGGGCGGGCACTACTGGCATCTAGTGTGTAGAGGCCAGGGCTGCCACTCAACATCCTACAATGCAGAGGGCAGCCCCCACAGCAAAGAATTTTCAAGCCCCAAATGATAGTAGTGCCAAGACCGAGAACGCTCTGCGAGGACGCCCCAGAGAGAGCAGCCTGGTGAATCTCAGGCAGAGCCCCACTCCTTCCTGAGGTTGAGCTGTATGCCTTTGTGCTGACTCAAGAACTATTCCGAGGCGGGCGTGCAAAATGCATGTGATACAGACCTGGGGGGAAGGGAGCAGCGATGCCTTAACTTATGGGGATTGGCAACTCCTTGGCTATGTTTCTCCCCAGGTCCACAAACCCGTGTTCAAACCCAGATCAACGTTGGTCTCAGGCTAACCTTGCCAGACGCACTCATCTCAGAAATCCGTCTGTTACCCTACATGATTCATCTTTCCCTCTCTTTCATTTTCCTACTTCCCTGAGAACCATTACATACTGTAAACGCATGACTGTTGTGATCTCCCTAGCTCTCATTTGTTGGGCTTTTCTGTCACTGGTGTCCCTGTGTGTCTAGATAGTTGGGGCCCAGTTGAGGATTGGTTTCTGGTTCACTCAATCTTAGCACAGTGCTCCGCACACAGGACGTGCCCACTGTTAGATAGGTTTGCACTTTTCCACCAGATTTGATCCGTGGTTCTCAGATGATAATCTATGGTACTGGGCTGGTATAACAATCACAGTTTAATAATCTGAATGTTTATTAAAAATACCGATTCCTGGGCCTCTGCCCCAGAGAAACAGATTGAGTAGGTCAGAGGTGGGCGCCTGCAATTTGGTGTTTTTTACACGTACTCCGGTGATTCTGGGGCTTAGAGGTTAGTTACCCAAAGTAGATTCTTGTGACCCTAGCGCTTATTGAAGTCTTCCTGGGAACAAGCCAACAGCAAGGGCAATTATCAGAAAGACCCAGTTGGACCAGTTTGGGTCTTCTGTTTCTGCTGGGGTTTACAGGGGTCCCTGAGAGTCATTGATTCAGCTTGGATATTTTCTTTTTAAGTTATTATGCTGGCTGGGCTGATAAGTACCATGGGAAAACCATTCCCATCGATGGAGACTTCTTCAGCTACACCCGCCATGAACCCGTGGGGGTGTGTGGGCAGATCATTCCGGTGAGTGTTAGCCTCGTAATAAACAAAGGAAGGTTTATCAGGAGTGCCGTGAGATGCAGCAGTCTCAGGCTCACTGTAAAGGTGGGAGGGTCAGCAGGGTAGCATCGGAAGGTGGCCTGGGTTGAGAACAGGGGCTTTGACAAAGCCATTGCTGCCACGGGTGAACTCTGTGACCTTGGGCAAGTCACTTATCCCCCTAAGACTCGGTTTCCCTATCTGAAAAGTGGAAGTGAACATGGTACCTGTCTTTGGGCGGTAGGGAGGATTGAATGTGATGACTTAGCATGGTGCCTAGTATGTAAAGAGCACTAATGAATGTGAGCCACTACTATCATCATCCACTACCTGCCTGGTCCGTCTGTCTTAGACCTACGATTGAGTGCTGGGGGGAACACAAGGGGTTCCAAGAACTCAGTGCTCCTTCTCCTCTGGGGTGCCGCTTTCTGCTGGCCAGTGTAGCTCTCGGCTTAGATTCGGGAGCAGCTGTTATTTATTGCAGTGGAACTTCCCACTCTTGATGCAAGCATGGAAACTGGGCCCAGCCTTGGCAACTGGAAACGTGGTTGTGATGAAGGTGGCCGAGCAGACTCCACTCACCGCCCTCTACGTGGCCAACTTGGTTAAGGAGGTGTGTGGCTCGTGTCCGTCTTGACGTCTAAATGCCCGTGTATGGGCTAGCTTTATAGGAGTTCTGAGGAGGGGCCTCAGGGGCGCCAAAGATACCCAAGGGAGGTGGGTATCTGTAGAGAGGGACTGAGCGCCGCCCCCCAACCCCTTCTCAGCACACTTCAGCCATAGAGGCCCCCTCCTACCTGTTTTCTACATTGGGTTTCATTGCAAGCCCCCTTTGAAGAATGAAAATAATTCTGAGTGAATGCCATGGTGGAAAGGGCAACAGCCACAGGGGACCCCGCAAAACAGATTCCTTGCTGTACCACTTAGAATTCCTGAGCGGTACCCCATAAGACTGGCTTCTGCTCCCCTGTGTCCTGGGCACACTGTCTCAGCTTCTCCGGGAAGGGATGTGTTTTCCCCTGTCCAGCCTGTTTGGAACGGGAGAATGACTCTCAGTGTCCCCGGCTGTTTGCCCACAGGCTGGCTTTCCCCCTGGTGTGGTCAATATAGTTCCTGGATTTGGCCCCACAGCTGGGGCTGCCGTCGCCTCCCACGAGGATGTGGACAAAGTGGCTTTCACAGGCTCCACTGAGGTAAGGCATCCCCAGGACCTCAACCTTGTGGTACGTTTGGCTCAAGCTCCCACTGTCCTCAAACGATGATGCATTCGGGGCCGGCCCCGTGGCATAGCGGTTAAGTGCGTGCGCTCTGCTGCTGGCGGCCCGGGTTTGGATCCCGGGCGCGCACTGTCGCACCACTTGTCAGGCCATGCTGTGGCGGCGTCCCATATAAAGTGGAGGAAGATGGGCACAGATGTTAGCCCGGGGCCAGACTTCCATAGAAAGTGGAGGAAGATGGGCACGGATGTTAGCCCGGGGCCAGACTTCCTCAGCAAAAAGAGGAGGATTGGCATGGATGTTAGCTCAGGGCTGATCTTCCTCAAAAAAAAAAAAAAAAAAAGTCCTACCAAAACAGTAAAGTTTGTTTAAAAGGAAAAATGTTTTAAAAAAACAAAAAGGATGATGCATTCAAGAATAGCCTCTGGGTACCGTGTGGGGGTCTGCCCCAGGGCTGCCTCTGAGTGGCTTGAATGAGGGGCCCCACGTGTGCCAGGAGGGACCGTGCAGGGTTGAGCCCTTTGTGGGTTGGTTGACCAGCCAACTCCAGCTGCTGTTGTAGGGCCGGTGTCCCACGTGGGATAAATGGTCTGTGACTGTTTAGACTTCACAAAGGTCACAGCTCCTCTGCCACGTCAGGCTCCTTGACTTGTACTGCCCTGGCAGTTAAAGAGCGTGGGGTCTGGAAGGATATGAGTTCAAATCCCAGCCTTGCCGTGATGACATGGGGTGATTCACTGAATGTCTTTGGGGCTCTGTTCATTGTCTTTAAAATGAGGATGGCAGTATTTCTGCAGCAGAGACAATATGTATGGTGTAGCGGAGAAGATAACTAACTGTTTCAGCAGCACTTACTAACTGTGCAACCTGGGCAAGTCACTTAGCCTCCTGAAGCCTCCGTTTCCCCATCTGTAAAACGGGGATGATAACTGTGCCCACCTCACCAGGTTGGAGTGAGTGAGACAAAGCTGGTGAAGTGCTCGGCAAAGGTGGAGCCCAGGGTGAATGCTCAATAAGTGAACAAATGAGTGAGTGAGTGAGGGCTACTATTATGCTGCTCCATGCCAGGCCCCAGAGAGACACAGATGAATAGATCCCTGGTAATTCCTTAACATAATTTCCTTGAAATCAGGGAAAAAATTCCTTCTAAAGAGGTAACTTTTTCCTATCCCTGAATTTTTGGAAGGCTTCATCGCATGACTTCAGCTAAGGCACACTGAATGGTGTAGCGAATGTGATCTTCACACAGTCCCCCTGAGATAAAGATGCCTTCAAACACTCAGTCTGTCTGCAGCGAGGGCAGTTCCGGGAGGGCAGGACAGTGGCCAAGATAATGTGGTTCTTTCCTTGCTTAGTCACCAGTGACCTTAATGCCTCAAGGGGATGTTGAGCATCTTGCAGAGGGGATGGTTTCCTGAGTGAGACACAGGTGTTCATTCAACAAATAAGTACGGAGGTAGCTTTGTGCCAGGCTCTGGGAATATGGAG